TTTTTATTGATTACGGATTAAGAAGAACCTTATTTTTAATTTATATTTGTATTCTAATTAATTTTTGTTTCTGAATACATTTATTTTTTTTATTATTCCTCGGAGTATAAAAATACTTCGAAAGGGGTTGAGAAACCCCCCAACATCAACACACATACAGCCCTAAATTTTCAAACTTTTACAAAAAAACCCCTATTTTGTAATAGCTTTTTAATGGTATTTTATTTTTCATCTCGCTTTCAGTCAGTGATTATTTTTCAGTGAATTTTCATTAAAATATTCTTTAAAATTTTTGAAACTCTTTATACTATAAAAAATAATAGACTTTAATTTATTTATTAAAATACTAATTATAAGACAGTTTATTCCTATTGTACTTAATATGAGGGAAGGAATACTATAGTATTGAACACACAAAAATGAAAATAAAACATATCAAATAGAACATGAAACACAATAGTCTCAACATCGAACAAAAAAATCTAATTATTAAATATTAACTATGTAACAGTATTACAAAATAAGTATATGTACAATTTTCATTTGTGTATCTACATTCTTAAGAACTAAATAACAAATAATAAACCACTAAATCATACAATACTATAATATACATCTATCTATTATCTAATTGGCTTCTAGTTCATCAGTGAGATCATCAGTGAATTCACTTCTATCGTACAATGTCTTGGTTGCAATTTTTCCCAATGGTTCGGGTGATTGTTGTTGATGACTAGCTTCCACGAATTTATCGTTCAAAGTGATGCAGACAGCTTTGCATTGTACTTCTTTAGGTTTTCGCAACAACGCCAGGTCGTGCAGCCGTTATGGAGCGTTTTCTTGCGATTGTAAATGTACATGTTATACACGAGTTGGGCATTATGCTTTTGACTTCTTATGAATTTCACCTCATCTAGAAGAATAAAAGATTGGCTGACAATTGGAAATTGAATAGATTGATTAGATTCAAATTTGCGATAAACAAATCTGATTTAAATTATTTTGAATTTGGTTTATAAAATTTGTGCTGTTTGTGATTCATAGATCTAACAAAAGAATAAGCACACTTTTGTGTCAATAAAATATATTGGTTTTACACGGAAGATACGTTCCAAAAAAAAGTGTAACTTGAAAATTCACTTTTATATGACAAAACCGTGCTAAAGGAAAATCACTATAAAAAGCACTTTTTGCAAGTTTTTAATATGATGAATAACTAACGAAACATAAATATTAATATATTTAATATCGAGGACATTTAATAAATTATAAATATTTAATTTATTTCAATAATAAAACAAATATAAAGAACTATTAAGTATTGCATTTTTTATTGATAAAAATTAAAATTGGTCTGTACAGATATAACCTTTCTTTTACTCTCCAGTTTAAACTACCCGTAGGCGTAGGGTAAGTTATAGTGATCGCAAAAAAAAAATCGAAAATGAATTTTTTTTTGTCTTTACGTTTCAGAGGTTTCTGAACATTTTGGCATACCTTAGAAAAACTGATGTGTGTGTGTATGTGCGCGGATGCAAATTTTCGTCGACGATTAACCGATTATAATCATTCAAAAAACATTCGATTCGTATTAATAAGGAGACGTGCTGATTAGTTTTTATCACAGGCAGGTCTAGCCGTTTCGGAAATACGGGACAAAAAGTGCCAAAGACGGTAACTCAGTTTTTAAGAGAACGGATTTGAATAACTCAAAAAACATTTTGCTTGTATTGACAATATGAAGAACTGATTAAATTTTTGGGAAGGCAGGTCTAGGGATTTCGGAGATCTAGTAAAAAAAAGTAAAAAAAAAAGCCTTTTGGCGGTCAAAAACGATCATTAGACATATGCACATGAAATTATCAGATATTTTCTGGAGATTTTAATAATGTGTGTATCAATTTTGTTTAAATTTCTATGCCCACACAGCACAAGACGATCCGACGAAATTCCGTGGGATGTACGCATGCGGGACACTCGTAGTCCGCGGATCATCCATGGACAGTCCGGCTTGTCCCGTCAGTATCCCTGAAATTTAATTTTGACCGACCCTAGGGATGATCCGTAGGCTATCCCGCGCCGGATATTCCGGCCGTAAGGTTGTACATACATTGTACTTAATTATGGGTTATTTAATTAATAATATCTAGCTGAAAATAATATTGGCATTGATAATATATTAAAAAAACATTAATTTGAAAACATATATTGTATTTCTTAGGATTTCTTAGAATTCTTATAAAACAATTCCTCATAAAAGCAATTCTTATAAAGCAATCAATTACAAATTTTGTTGGTCTTGTACTGGCATTCCTTTTCTGAAACATAGAATGAATAGTTAAAAATAATGAACATAAATATAATATATATATATATATTATATATATATATATATATATATATAAATAATAATATATACTATATTATAGTAATCGGGCGTAACATCAATAAAAAACATGAATTCTTTCAAAAATTTATTTTACATCCATACATTTCGCCTATAATCCTAGCCTTAATTCAGTGGAAAAATTAGTTAATTTTAGTGTTAAATTAGAATATGGAATGAGGCAACATATGGATGTGAAATAAAATGGGTTTTAAATAAATCTTTAAAAACTCTCGTACTAGTTTTTATTGATCTAACCCCCAAATTTTAAACTCGAAATAATGTATGTATATGATCTTACAATTGATTCCTCATCAACCGTTCGCTGGCATGTCTCAGCCAACTTTTAACTGCCTCTGCAACCGCATGCTTTGTCTCTTTTGGAAGATTTTTGAGTACAGTATCTGTAATTAATAAAAGATGAAATACATCTTATTTATTTAAATACATCTTATTAACCAAAATAATAAAATATTTGTTTGGACACTGTCCTCGCGTGCGGACATGACGGATCGTCCCTGGACCGTACGATTTCGCGGATTTGAGACATCCCAATGCGGACAGTCCTTGTACGGTCCGTGGAATATGCGCGATATTGCAACCGCGTAGCGGACAAGCCGGATAGTCCCCGGACTATCTTGTGCTGTATGGGTGGGTTCCGTACCAATGTTTATCCGTTAAAAGGCTACGCGGCGCTTACGCGCTTCAATATTTCGTCTCTATGCAGCTAAAGCAGTGCGATTGCTTTGAAAAAAGTTCAAAATTTCCAAAATATTTCAAAATAAAAAAATATATTTTTCCAAATTTTTTCTTCCAAAAGATTTTCAAAATTTTAAATTTTCTCAAAAATCCAATTTTTTCAAAGATTAAAAAAAATGGTACGGAAAGTTCCAGCAATTTACCTTAAGGCACAATGCCATACACCATAAGTTTATTACTCATATTTTTTTATAAATGAAAATTTTTGTAAAAAATGATTCCGTTATTTCACCTTGAATTTCGCTATCGATTATATATGAACACTAATTAAGAACAATGATGCTCTTGTTTTGATATTTGAAACAAACTAGCTTATACGCACATGAAATTTAGTTTTGATCATAAAACGGAAAGTTCCCATATTTTAATCTATAGATTTTCATCACAGATATAGACTACTAAAAATTAGTAACTGTAACATACATTTTGTAGCAAAGTATTTTGATAGTAAAACAATAAAAATGTTATTGTAGATATAAACAAACTATAATTTCGTGTAAATGCAAAAGAAGCTGTAGAAAAAAAATATTTCAAAAACGTCGATGAAAGGTCTAATTTTATCAAAGGTCAAAAAACGCTTCTTTTTTCAAACTTTGACGAATTTTTAAAATTAAACGACTTGTCGTAGATATTTTAGTATATTCTATAAAACCTTGACATCTATCGCAAAAAAAAAATTCATAAAAAAAATTTCTTTAACAGTTAATTACAAGAAAACGACCCGGCCGATCTTTACAAAAAACTAATCAACGCGATTTCCAAACAATATCTTTCAGGCAGTTTTTGAATTTTCAAATTCGATTCAAAATTGCGGGCTAAAACGCGTACGAAAATATTTCCACTTTTCTGATATTAAAAAAGAAACGGTTTGGCTGAATATCGCGTAAAATTGGCAAATGTTAGTCCTCATTGAATTGCATCGAATGGCCCTTAATTTTTTAAATCTGTCCAAACGTCGACGAAAGGTCAAAAATCGGCTCAAGCATACTTTTACCAAATTTTCTCTCATTGGATTGCGAATTATTTTCTATATAACCGGGTGAAAAAATCACAAAAAGGCTTTTGCAACACAAGAAGTGAAACTCTCAAACAACTAACTACAAATATTAATTAATAAATATTTATCAAGTACCTCTGACTTGTGTGAATCCCATATCATAGTTATCAGCCGGGTCTTCTATATAATCATCGTTGGTATTTTCGTAATCCGGTATACATGAAGGGTTATCAGGATTTTCATCAACTTTCATTTCGCGTGTTCGTATATATGATGGTTCGATTACTTCTTGGATATCTTGGCAGGTTTGTCTTTTCAAAAGGTTCTCATTATGCTCTTCTGCAGCCTTTATGTGTTCTAGGTCTTCTTGGATATCTTGGCAGGTTTGTCTTTTCAAAAGGTTCTCATTATGCTCTTCTGCAGCCTTTATGTGTTCTAGGTCTTCTTGGATATCTTGGCAGGTTTGTCTTTTCAAAAGGTTCTCATTATGCTCTTCTGCAGCCTTTATGTGTTCTAGGTCTTCTTGGATATCTTGGCAGGTTTGTCTTTTCAAAAGGTTCTCATTATGCTCTTCTGCAGCCTTTATGTGTTCTAGGTCTTCTTGGATATCTTGGCAGGTTTGTCTTTTCAAAAGGTTCTCATTATGCTCTTCTGCAGCCTTTATGTGTTCTAGGTCTTCTTGGATATCTTGGCAGGTTTGTCTTTTCAAAAGGTTCTCATTATGCTCTTCTGCAGCCTTTATGTGTTCTAGGTCTTCTTGGATATCTTGGCAGGTTTGTCTTTTCAAAAGGTTCTCATTATGCTCTTCTGCAGCCTTTATGTGTTCTAGGTCTTCTTGGATATCTTGGCAGGTTTGTCTTTTCAAATTTTGTAATTTTGGATTAAAAATTGAAAAAATTACCCAGGGTAAGCACAGTCTAAGCGCCACTTTGGTACAAATGTTTACCCAAGTGCGTTTAGACTGTTTATGTGGGAGCACTTTTCCAAATTTGTGAAAATTATTGAAAAATGTGAAAATGCCGGTATCTAAGCACAGTATAAGTGAAAATGTCGCACAGAATTATTTGCAAATGCGTTTAGACTGTGACTATACGGGAGCACTTCTTCAATTTTGTGTAAATTAGGCAACTTTTTTTTTTTTTTTTGAAATTGAATTTGAAATGAAATGACGATTGTTAATGTTCTGGAGATAAATTGATTTATGATTTACATTTGATTTGCTCAGATATAACAAGATAGCAGAAATAATGAAACAATTACAGTATTTGTGATAATATATTTGAAAACGTTTAATATCCCTCGAGCATTTCATTACATTATGGGAAGTTCCAGCAATTTGCCTTAAGAAGCAATGCCATACCCCACTAGTTTAGTTGTACTATTTCTACTATCCATTCTACTATCAAAATTTTATTATTTTAGTTATAGAACCAGAACTCGAGATCGAAGAAGACCTAGAACACATAAAGGCTGCAGAAGAGCATAATGAGAACCTTTTGAAAAGACAAACCTGCCAAGATATCCAAGAAGACCTAGAACACATAAAGGCTGCAGAAGAGCATAATGAGAACCTTTTGAAAAGACAAACCTGCCAAGATATCCAAGAAGACCTAGAACACATAAAGGCTGCAGAAGAGCATAATGAGAACCTTTTGAAAAGACAAACCTGCCAAGATATCCAAGAAGACCTAGAACAATAAAGGCTGCAGAAGAGCATAATGAGAACCTTTTGAAAAGACAAACCTGCCAAGATATCCAAGAAGACCTAGAACACATAAAGGCTGCAGAAGAGCATAATGAGAACCTTTGAAAAGACAAACCTGCCAAGATATCCAAGAAGACCTAGAACACATAAAGGCTGCAGAAGAGCATAATGAGAACCTTTTGAAAAGACAAACCTGCCAAGATATCCAAGAAGACCTAGAACACATAAAGGCTGCAGAAGAGCATAATGAGAACCTTTTGAAAAGACAAACCTGCCAAGATATCCAAGAAGACCTAGAACACATAAAGGCTGCAGAAGAGCATAATGAGAACCTTTTGAAAAGACAAACCTGCCAAGATATCCAAGAAGACCTAGAACACATAAGGCTGCAGAAGAGCATAATGAGAACCTTTTGAAAAGACAAACCTGCCAAGATATCCAAGAAGACCTAGAACACATAAAGGCTGCAGAAGAGCATAATGAGAACCTTTTGAAAAGACAAACCTGCCAAGATATCCAAGAAGACCTAGAACACATAAAGGCTGCAGAAGAGCATAATGAGAACCTTTTGAAAAGACAAACCTGCCAAGATATCCAAGAAGACCTAGAACACATAAAGGCTGCAGAAGAGCATAATGAGAACCTTTTGAAAAGACAAACCTGCCAAGATATCCAAGAAGACCTAGAACACATAAAGGCTGCAGAAGAGCATAATGAGAACCTTTTGAAAAGACAAACCTGCCAAGATATCCAAGAAGACCTAGAACACATAAAGGCTGCAGAAGAGCATAATGAGAACCTTTTGAAAAGACAAACCTGCCAAGATATCCAAGAAGACCTAGAACACATAAAGGCTGCAGAAGAGCATAATGAGAACCTTTTGAAAAGACAAACCTGCCAAGATATCCAAGAAGACCTAGAAACACATAAAGGCTGCAGAAGAGCATAATGAGAACCTTTTGAAAAGACAAACCTGCCAAGATATCCAAGAAGACCTAGAACACATAAAGGCTGCAGAAGAGCATAATGAGAACCTTTTGAAAAGACAAACCTGCCAAGATATCCAAGAAGACCTAGAACACATAAAGGCTGCAGAAGAGCATAATGAGAACCTTTTGAAAAGACAAACCTGCCAAGATATCCAAGAAGACCTAGAACACATAAAGGCTGCAGAAGAGCATAATGAGAACCTTTTGAAAAGACAAACCTGCCAAGATATCCAAGAAGACCTAGAACACATAAAGGCTGCAGAAGAGCATAATGAGAACCTTTTGAAAAGACAAACCTGCCAAGATATCCAAGAAGACCTAGAACACATAAAGGCTGCAGAAGAGCATAATGAGAACCTTTTGAAAAGACAAACCTGCCAAGATATCCAAGAAGACCTAGAACACATAAAGGCTGCAGAAGAGCATAATGAGAACCTTTTGAAAAGACAAACCTGCCAAGATATCCAAGAAGACCTAGAACACATAAAGGCTGCAGAAGAGCATAATGAGAACCTTTTGAAAAAGAAAACCTGCCAAGATATCCAAGAAGACCTAGAACACATAAAGGCTGCAGAAGAGCATAATGAGAACCTTTTGAAAAGACAAACCTGCCAAGATATCCAAGAAGACCTAGAACACATAAAGGCTGCAGAAGAGCATAATGAGAACCTTTTGAAAAGACAAACCTGCCAAGATATCCAAGAAGACCTAGAACACATAAAGGCTGCAGAAGAGCATAATGAGAACCTTTTGAAAAGACAAACCTGCCAAGATATCCAAGAAGACCTAGAACACATAAAGGCTGCAGAAGAGCATAATGAGAACCTTTTGAAAAGACAAACCTGCCAAGATATCCAAGAAGACCTAGAACACATAAAGGCTGCAGAAGAGCATAATGAGAACCTTTTGAAAAGACAAACCTGCCAAGATATCCAAGAAGACCTAGAACACATAAAGGCTGCAGAAGAGCATAATGAGAACCTTTTGAAAAGACAAACCTGCCAAGATATCCAAGAAGACCTAGAACACATAAAGGCTGCAGAAGAGCATAATGAGAACCTTTTGAAAAGACAAACCTGCCAAGATATCCAAGAAGACTAGAACACATAAAGGCTGCAGAAGAGCATAATGAGAACCTTTTGAAAAGACAAACCTGCCAAGATATCCAAGAAGACCTAGAACACATAAAGGCTGCAGAAGAGCATAATGAGAACCTTTTGAAAAGACAAACCTGCCAAGATATCCAAGAAGACCTAGAACACATAAAGGCTGCAGAAGAGCATAATGAGAACCTTTTGAAAAGACAAACCTGCCAAGATATCCAAGAAGACCTAGAACACATAAAGGCTGCAGAAGAGCATAATGAGAACCTTTTGAAAAGACAAACCTGCCAAGATATCCAAGAAGACCTAGAACACATAAAGGCTGCAGAAGAGCATAATGAGAACCTTTTGAAAAGACAAACCTGCCAAGATATCCAAGAAGACCTAGAACACATAAAGGCTGCAGAAGAGCATAATGAGAACCTTTTGAAAAGACAAACCTGCCAAGATATCCAAGAAGACCTAGAACACATAAAGGCTGCAGAAGAGCATAATGAGAACCTTTTGAAAAGACAAACCTGCCAAGATATCCAAGAAGACCTAGAACACATAAAGGCTGCAGAAGAGAGCATAATGAGAACCTTTTGAAAAGACAAACCTGCCAAGATATCCAAGAAGACCTAGAACACACAAAGGCTGCAGAAGAGCATAATGAGAACCTTTTGAAAAGACAAACCTGCCAAGATATCCAAGAAGACCTAGACACATAAAGGCTGCACAAGAGCATAATGAGAACCTTTTGAAAAGACAAACCTGCCAAGATATCCAAGAAGACCTAGAACACATAAAGGCTGCAGAAGAGCATAATGAGAACCTTTTGAAAAGACAAACCTGCCAAGATATCCAAGAAGACCTAGAACACATAAAGGCTGCAGAAGAGCATAATGAGAACCTTTTGAAAAGACAAACCTGCCAAGATATCCAAGAAGACCTAGAACACATAAAGGCTGCAGAAGAGCATAATGAGAACCTTTTGAAAAGACAAACCTGCCAAGATATCCAAGAAGACCTAGAACACATAAAGGCTGCAGAAGAGCATAATGAGAACCTTTTGAAAAGACAAACCTGCCAAGATATCCAAGAAGACCTAGAACACATAAAGGCTGCAGAAGAGCATAATGAGAACCTTTTGAAAAGACAAACCTGCCAAGATATCCAAGAAGACCTAGAACACATAAAGGCTGCAGAAGAGCATAATGAGAACCTTTTGAAAAGACAAACCTGCCAAGATATCCAAGAAGACCTAGAACACATAAAGGCTGCAGAAGAGCATAATGAGAACCTTTTGAAAAGACAAACCTGCCAAGATATCCAAGAAGACCTAGAACACATAAAGGCTGCAGAAGAGCATAATGAGAACCTTTTGAAAAGACAAACCTGCCAAGATATCCAAGAAGACCTAGAACACATAAAGGCTGCAGAAGAGCATAATGAGAACCTTTTGAAAAGACAAACCTGCCAAGATATCCAAGAAGACCTAGAACACATAAAGGCTGCAGAAGAGCATAATGAGAACCTTTTGAAAAGACAAACCTGCCAAGATATCCAAGAAGACCTAGAACACATAAAGGCTGCAGAAGAGCATAATGAGAACCTTTTGAAAAGACAAACCTGCCAAGATATCCAAGAAGACCTAGAACACATAAAGGCTGCAGAAGAGCATAATGAGAACCTTTTGAAAAGACAAACCTGCCAAGATATCCAAGAAGACCTAGAACACATAAAGGCTGCAGAAGAGCATAATGAGAACCTTTTGAAAAGACAAACCTGCCAAGATATCCAAGAAGACCTAGAACACATAAAGGCTGCAGAAGAGCATAATGAGAACCTTTTGAAAAGACAAACCTGCCAAGATATCCAAGAAGACCTAGAACACATAAAGGCTGCAGAAGAGCATAATGAGAACCTTTTGAAAAGACAAACCTGCCAAGATATCCAAGAAGACCTAGAACACATAAAGGCTGCAGAAGAGCATAATGAGAACCTTTTGAAAAGACAAACCTGCCAAGATATCCAAGAAGACCTAGAACACATAAAGGCTGCAGAAGAGCATAATGAGAACCTTTTGAAAAGACAAACCTGCCAAGATATCCAAGAAGACCTAGAACACATAAAGGCTGCAGAAGAGCATAATGAGAACCTTTTGAAAAGACAAACCTGCCAAGATATCCAAGAAGACCTAGAACACATAAAGGCTGCAGAAGAGCATAATGAGAACCTTTTGAAAAGACAAACCTGCCAAGATATCCAAGAAGACCTAGAACACATAAAGGCTGCAGAAGAGCATAATGAGAACCTTTTGAAAAGACAAACCTGCCAAGATATCCAAGAAGACCTAGAACACATAAAGGCTGCAGAAGAGCATAATGAGAACCTTTTGAAAAGACAAACCTGCCAAGATATCCAAGAAGACCTAGAACACATAAAGGCTGCAGAAGAGCATAATGAGAACCTTTTGAAAAGACAAACCTGCCAAGATATCCAAGAAGACCTAGAACACATAAAGGCTGCAGAAGAGCATAATGAGAACCTTTTGAAAAGACAAACCTGCCAAGATATCCAAGAAGACCTAGAACACATAAAGGCTGCAGAAGAGCATAATGAGAACCTTTTGAAAAGACAAACCTGCCAAGATATCCAAGAAGACCTAGAACACATAAAGGCTGCAGAAGAGCATAATGAGAACCTTTTGAAAAGACAAACCTGCCAAGATATCCAAGAAGACCTAGAACACATAAAGGCTGCAGAAGAGCATAATGAGAACCTTTTGAAAAGACAAACCTGCCAAGATATCCAAGAAGTAATCGAACCATCATATATACGAACAGCGAAATGAAAGTTGATGAAAATCCTGATAACCCTTCATGTATACCGGATTACGAAAATACCAACGATGATTATATAGAAGACCCGGCTGATAACTATGATATGGGATTCACACAAGTCAGAGGTACTTGATAAATATTTATTAATTAATATTTGTAGTTAGTTGTTTGAGAGTTTCACTTCTTGTGTTGCAAAAGCCTTTTTGTGATTTTTTCACCCGGTTATATAGAAAATAATTCGCAATCCAATGAGAGAAAATTTGGTAAAAGTATGCTTGAGCCGATTTTTGACCTTTCGTCGACGTTTGGACAGATTTAAAAAATTAAGGGCCATTCGATGCAATTCAATGAGGACTAACATTTGCCAATTTTACGCGATATTCAGCCAAACCGTTTCTTTTTTAATATCAGAAAAGTGGAAATATTTTCGTACGCGTTTTAGCCCGCAATTTTGAATCGAATTTGAAAATTCAAAAACTGCCTGAAAGATATTGTTTGGAAATCGCGTTGATTAGTTTTTTGTAAAGATCGGCCGGGTCGTTTTCTTGTAATTAACTGTTAAAGAAATTTTTTTTATGAAATTTTTTTTTTGCGATAGATGTCAAGGTTTTATAGAATATACTAAAATATCTACGACAAGTCGTTTAATTTTAAAAATTCGTCAAAGTTTGAAAAAATGAGAAGCGTTTTTTGACCTTTGATAAAATTAGACCTTTCATCGACGTTTTTGAAAATATTTTTTTCTACAGCTTCTTTTGCATTTACACGAAATTATAGTTTGTTTATATCTACAATAACATTTTTATTGTTTTACTATCAAAATACTTTGCTACAAAATGTATGTTACAGTTACTAATTTTTAGTAGTCTATATCTGTGATGAAAATCTATAGATTAAAATATGGGAACTTTCCGTTTTATGATCAAAACTAAATTTCATGTGCGTATAAGCTAGTTTGTTTCAAATATCAAAACAAAGAGCATCATTGTTCTTAATTAGTGTTCATATATAATCGATAGCGAAATTCAAGGTGAAATAACGGAATCATTTTTTACAAAAATTTTCATTTATAAAAAAAATATGAGTAATAAACTTATGGTGTATGGCATTGTGCCTTAAGGTAAATTGCTGGAACTTTCCGTACCATTTTTTTTAATCTTTGAAAAAATTGGATTTTTGAGAAAATTTAAAATTTTGAAAATCTTTTGGAAGAAAAAAATTTGGAAAAATATATTTTTTTATTTTGAAATATTTTGGAAATTTTGAACTTTTTTCAAAGCAATCGCACTGCTTTAGCTGCATAGAGACGAAATATTGAAGCGCGTAGCCTTTTAACGGATAAACATTGGTACGGAACCCACCCATACAGCACAAGATAGTCCGGGGACTATCCGGCTTGTCCGCTACGCGGTTGCAATATCGCGCATATTCCACGGACCGTACAAGGACTGTCCGCATTGGGATGTCTCAAATCCGCGAAATCGTACGGTCCAGGGACGATCCGTCATGTCCGCACGCGAGGACAGTGTCCAAACAAATATTTTATTATTTTGGTTAATAAGATGTATTTAAATAAATAAGATGTATTTCATCTTTTATTAATTACAGATACTGTACTCAAAAATCTTCCAAAAGAGACAAAGCATGCGGTTGCAGAGGCAGTTAAAAGTTGGCTGAGACATGCCAGCGAACGGTTGATGAGGAATCAATTGTAAGATCATATACATACATTATTTCGAGTTTAAAATTTGGGGGTTAGATCAATAAAAACTAGTACGAGAGTTTTTAAAGATTTATTTAAAACCCATTTTATTTCACATCCATATGTTGCCTCATTCCATATTCTAATTTAACACTAAAATTAACTAATTTTTCCACTGAATTAAGGCTAGGATTATAGGCGAAATGTATGGATGTAAAATAAATTTTTGAAAGAAATTCATGTTTTTTATTGATGTTACGCCCGATTACTATAATATAGTATATATTATTATTTATATATATATATATATATATATATATATATATATATATATATATTATATTTATGTTCATTATTTTTAACTATTCATTCTATGTTTCAGAAAAGGAATGCCAGTACAAGACCAACAAAATTTGTAATTGATTGCTTTATAAGAATTGCTTTTATGAGGAATTGTTTTATAAGAATTCTAAGAAATCCTAAGAAATACAATATATGTTTTCAAATTAATGTTTTTTTAATATATTATCAATGCCAATATTATTTTCAGCTAGATATTATTAATTAAATAACCCATAATTAAGTACAATGTATGTACAACCTTACGGCCGGAATATCCGGCGCGGGATAGCCTACGGATCATCCCTAGGGTCGGTCAAAATTAAATTTCAGGGATACTGACGGGACAAGCCGGACTGTCCATGGATGATCCGCGGACTACGAGTGTCCCGCATGCGTACATCCCACGGAATTTCGTCGGATCGTCTTGTGCTGTGTGGGCATAGAAATTTAAACAAAATTGATACACACATTATTAAAATCTCCAGAAAATATCTGATAATTTCATGTGCATATGTCTAATGATCGTTTTTGACCGCCAAAAGGCTTTTTTTTTTACTTTTTTTACTAGATCTCCGAAATCCCTAGACCTGCCTTCCCAAAAATTTAATCAGTTCTTCATATTGTCAATACAAGCAAAATGTTTTTTGAGTTATTCAAATCGGATACTCCGTTCTCTTAAAAACTGAGTTACCGTCTTTGGCACTTTTTGTCCCGTATTTCCGAAACGGCTAGACCTGCCTGTGATAAAAACTAATCAGCACGTCTCCTTATTAATACGAATCGAATGTTTTTTGAATGATTATAATCGGTTAAATCGTCGACGAAAATTTGTATCCGCGCACATACACACACACATCAGTTTTTCTAAGGTATGCCAAAATGTTCAGAAACCTCTGAAACGTAAAGACAAAAAAAAAATTCATTTACGATTTTTTTTTGCGATCACTATAACTTACCCTACGCCTACGGGTAGTTTAAACTGGAGAGTAAAAGAAAGGTTATATCTGTACAGACCAATTTTAATTTTTATCAATAAAAAATGCAATACTTAATAGTTCTTTATATTTGTTTTATTATTGAAATAAATTAAATATTTATAATTTATTAAATGTCCTCGATATTAAATATATTAATATTTATGTTTCGTTAGTTATTCATCATATTAAAAACTTGCAAAAAGTGCTTTTTATAGTGATTTTCCTTTAGCACGGTTTTGTCATATAAAAGTGAATTTTTCAAGTTACACTTTTTTTTGGAACGTATCTTCCGTGTAAAACCAATATATTTTATTGACACAAAAGTGTGCTTATTCTTTTGTTAGATCTATGAATCACAAACAGCACAAATTTTATAAACCAAATTCAAAATAATTTAAATCAGATTTGTTTATCGCAAAATTTGAATCTAATCAATCTATTCAATTTCCAATTGTCAGCCAATCTTTTATTCTTCTAGATGAGGTGAAATTCATAAGAAGTCAAAAGCATAATGCCCAACTCGTGTATAACATGTACATTTACAATCGCAAGAAAACGCTCCATAACGGCTGCACGACCTGGCGTTGTTGCGAAAACCTAAAGAAGTACAAATGCAAAGCTGTCTGCATCACTTTGAACGATAAATTCGTGGAAGCTAGTCATCAACACAATCACCCGAACCATTGGGAAAAAATTGCAACCAAGACATTGTACGATAGAAGTGAATTCACTGATGATCTCATTGATGAACTAGAAGCCAATTAGATAATAGATAGATGTATATTATAGTATTGTATGATTTAGTGGTTTATTATTTATTATTTAGTTCTTAAGAATGTAGATACACAAATGAAAATTGTACATATACTTATTTTGTAATACTGTTACATAGTTAATATTTAATAATTAGATTTTTTTGTTCGATGTTGAGACTATTGTGTTTCATGTTCTATTTGATATGTTTTATTTTTCATTTTTGTGTGTTCAATACTATAGTATTCCTTCCCTCATATTAAGTACAATAGGAATAAACTGTCTTATAATTAGTATTTTAATAAATATAATAAAGTCTATTATTTTATAGTATAAAGAGTTTCAAAAATTTTAAAGAATATTTTAATGAAAATTCACTGAAAAATAATCACTGACTGAAAGCGAGATGAAAAATAAAATACCATTAAAATAGCTATTACAAAATAGGGGTTTTTTGTAAAAGGTTGAAAATTTAGGGCTGTATGTGTGTTGATGTTGGGGGGTTTCTCAACCCCTTTCGAAGTATTTTATACTCCAAGGAATAATAAAAAAAATTAAATGTATTCAGAAAACAAAAATTAATTAGAATACAAATATAAATTAAAAATAAGGTTCTTCTTAATCCGTAATCAATAAAAAACTTAAATATATTCTATATAAATTTTATATAAATGAAAAAACAAAAATGAACACTAATTAATATTGTATGAAAATGTTATCTGTTTGGAAGTCCAAGCCGCGGCAGCTATTTGGTTGGATCTGGAAACATCAGCGTAGTCGGTTGGAAATGTTGAAAGGGAATTCGAACACACTGATAACAAAACAAAAACAACTGGCTGACTTGACACACAATAGTAACTTAATCCACTGATAATATTGAACTGATAACAAACACTGAAAGGAACTGAATGTACTGATTGAATGATTTAAACCGAAATGAATGAAAACCACGGAAAGAATGGAATTGAATACTGAAAGAAACTGAAAGTACTTGTCGAAAGTAACTGAATGAAAGAAAGCCACGGAATGAATAGACTCGAACACTGAAAGGAACTGAAAGTACCTGAACGAATGAAAGGCACGGAATGAATAGACTTGAATGGTAAAACTATTGCCTGCATCGGCCTTTTTTATGAGTCAGAATTGCCCGATTGCCTAAATTTGAAACGTGTTGTCCAAGTAGAAAAACAAACCTTTTACAGGTCCGACAACCTACACAGGTGCGGCGCAAACATTTTCCCCCGACTAAAAGGTTAGCCTTTTATACTTCTGAAAATACTCGAAATTGGTACATAGTGAACCTCATGATTAGGAAGGATAGAATTGCCAAAATAAATTCAAACTTTCATTCAGAGTAGATCGGTTACGGAAGCCTGACCTCGCGCCAGGGTCCCGCTCTCGCGACCTACCACATTCACACAATCTAGATTGCGGAAGTTTTATTTTCGCGCCAGGGTCTAGATTTTTGGACATTTACAAGAATCTTCCAGAGACTATGAGGGATGTTCTCATCGCCCTGGAGATTGAAAATTTGGCAAAACTATATATAGAAGCAAATATATCATGAGATAGAAAAGTTTTTTTTTTTTTTTTTTGAAATGAATAATTCAGATATAAACTATTGAAGAGGTAGGGGGCATAGTTTGACAACAGGCCGCTTGATTAGGGTATTTCCCGTTTTTACCAATGCTACTCGAACCACTCCATCGGAGCCCGAAAAAACCTCTTCAACTCTTTCCCAACCCCCAATGAAGCGGACGCGCATTCTCTTGTTTTACAACTACCAAATCACCCTTTTCAATAAGATTAGTGACTGTATTCCATTTCTGTCGGACCTGTAGCTCGGTTAGATATTCCACATTCCATCGCTTCCAGTAAGAAGCGACAATATGATCTAACAATTGTTTTCTTTTAGTCAAATTCAAGTTTTCATAGTCAACGGGCAAATCCGACAGAGGCTCTTGCATTAAAAAGTGCGCTTTAAAACTAACTTTAAACAAATGGGTCTTCACTGATTTAATATTCGCCTCCCATATACCTCCAAAATGTGGGGCAAACGGTGGATTAAATTTCCATTGAATATCATGCAAAACCAATAATTCATTGAAACGCTTTTTATACTCTTCGGAATTTAGGAGGAGGAATAAGGAATCAAGAGTATTTTTGGCTCCTATAAAATTGGTTCCACAATCGGAGTAAATACATTTAATAGGACCACGCTGGGCTAGGAATCGTTTCAAGCAATCTAAAAATGTATCGCTTGTTAAATCTGAAGCTAATTCGAGATGTATCGCCTTAGTGGCTAAACAGATGAACAAGCATATATAAGCCTTGTAGGTTCGAGCGCCTCTGTGACGACTCATGGAGATATTGAAGGGGCCTGCATAATCAACGCCGACGTTTAGGAAAGCTCTACTGGCTGTTATGCGCGGTACTGGTAAGTCGCCCATTAATGGAAAAAGGGGTTTCGGATTCTGTCGAAAACAAGTTATACACTTGTGAGGACGATTACGAATTATTGCACGAGCCGACAAGATCCAATATTTTTGCCTCAATAAAGATAATACTAAGTTTGATCCAGTATGTAAATTATTAATATGGTAGTAATCTATAAGACAATTTACTACTTGGTCTTTTTTTGGCAAAGGAAGTGGATTGTTATTAGTTGTTAATCCTAATCTACCTTTAACGCGTAAACAATTATTAGAATCCAAAACCAAATTTAGTCGGCAAAACTTCTTCGAACAAGACTTTCCGTTCGTTAATAGTTTGAATTCTTCGGGAAAATGATGCTCTTGGACTAAACGAATAATAATTACCTCGGCTTGTTTCAAATCTGAAGTCAAAAGTCGGTTTCGATTTGTTATAATTTTACAAAACTTCAATATATAAGCGAAAATTCTTACAAGCTTGCACCAATTAGAAAATTTTTGCGTTAATTCATATAAAGGATTGATCGGTGGTATGACACTCTTTACTATTAGAACGTTAGCTTTTCTTTCTTGATCAATATCTCCGGAAGGTTCAACCGTTTTTGCAGGCCAAGTTGATATAGGACCATTTAACCAATCCGGCCCAAACAACCAATTCTTATGTTGGATAAATTCCTTAGGTCGTAGACCTCGGGAAACACAATCGGCTGCATTTTGATTAGAAGGAATGTGAAGCCATTGTGCATTAGGAATGAGATCCCGTATTTTTGTTACCCTATTGGCTACAAATGTTTTCCAACGAGTAGCCGGTCCTGCTAACCAGTGAAGGACAATCATAGAATCGGAAAAACAGTAAATGGAATCAAAATCTATACTATGTTGGTTATTCGTTAATATAAAATTCAGAAGTTTTGACAGTAAATGACAGGCACAAAGTTCAAGCCTGGCTAATGTTTGGTTTTTAATCGGTGTTACTCGTGATTTTGAAATCAATAAGAAATTCGGATTGCCAAGAGATTTAATATAAACTACCGCTCCATAGCTTGCTCTGAGCTATCCGCGAAACCAAATAATGTACATTTGTTTTGTTTTGACGTTTCGAGATAACGCGGAATCTGATAGTTATTAACGTTATTAAGATGCTCTAATTCGGAATATACGGCTAACCATGATGTAACAATAAATGATGGTAATTCCTCATCCCAATCGATTTTTAAGGTCCAAATTTTTTTCAATAATATTTTTATCTTAACAACTATCGGAGTTAGGAAACCCAGAGGATCCCAGATTCGCGCTATTACTGAAAGAAGTTGTCTCTTTGTCCATTTTCTCCACGTAAGCTTTATTTCGAATGAAAAATTATCTGATAAGGGATCCCATTTTAATCCCAATACCTTTGTAGAAGATTCTATTTCAAAATCCGATTTAGAGAAATGTTTGTTTTGTACATCAGAATTAGGAAAAAGTTTACGTAGATTAGAATTATTAGATTCCCACTTTTTTAATTCAAAACCACCAGACGATAATACAGTCTGCAAACCTTCGCAAATAGTTTTAGCGCTATCCAAGGAGTCGATACTTGTAACCACATCATCAATATAGACATCGTTCTCAAGAATTCTAGAAATAGATTGAGAATATTTGGAACATTCGTCTCGGGAAAGTTGTTTGATGGTTCTGATAGCTTGAAAGGGAGATGACGATAGACCAAAAGTTACAGTATTTAATTCATAAATGCCAATGGGTGCATCGGGAAACGGTCTCCATAAGATTTTTTGATATTTTCTATCTTGTTTACGAACCCAAATATTACGATACATTTGTTTGATATCAGCTGTTAATGCTATAGGCCCGAAACGAAAATTTAGAAGGATTGAACAAATGTCGGTTTGTATTATAATTTAGGACCAACATGCAAAATTTCGTTCAAGGAAGTGAATTCTGAATTTTTCACAGATGCATCAAACACAACGCGTAAAGGCGTGGAGGAACTTTCTTTTTCGACTGCGAAATGTGGAATATAATATCCATTTTTTATTTTAATAAAATCATCGACTTCATGATCTACCGGACAATAATCGACAAAGGATAATTGGTTTTGAGTCAGGTAATCTTCTATGACGGCGGCATATTTTTTATGAAATTCGGGATTTTTCAAAAATTTATTTTCAAGCATGTGGTATCGCTTTAAGGCTAAATGAAATGATTTGTATAAATTCCTGCCTTCACTTTTAAAAGGCAGCGCTACTACATATCGTCCATCTGGAGATCGCGTAGTAGTTGTAGTAAAATGGTTTTCGCATAAATCATCGTTAGAAGAGGGGATTATTTCGGGAATGTCTTCTAATTGTAAGAATTTATTCATTTGTAAATGAAAATCTGAATCTGAAACATTACATAAATTAGTAGAAGTGCCGGTATTTTCATATAAATCAGGAATGGAACCTAATATTAGATAACCCAACCGGGTTTCTAGGGCCACAGGTAATCCTTTATCATTTTTAACCTGATTAGTGCCAAGAATTTCGCCGAAAACATCGCAACCCAAAATTCCGTCGACCTCCTGGGGTGTATGAAAGTTAGGATCCGCTAAAGGATAATTCAGAAATGTTTTGATGGATGAAATCGGAATGGTAATTTGTGGTTGCTTTCCCACTATCTCGTGTACTACGTATGCACAGACCGATAACTGATAAGAATCAATTAAAGATTTCAAAGTGAAATTAACTAATCCAATAACTTTATGTGACGAATTGCCTAACCCGATCACTTGGGTTGATATTGGAAGAATTTGTAAATTAGCCTTTTTGCACCAAGTTAATGTCACAAAGTTTCTATCGCTTCCCGAATCAATAATTGTACGTAATAAAATGTTTTCTTTTCTAGTAGTAACTTTTACTACTGCTGTCGGTAATATGGTAATATGATGTGCGATTTTGTTTTGATTAAATGCGCATAAAACCGTACTATTTGATTTGGAATTAGAAAGATTATTTTGATCCGTACTCGCAAAATTGCTGCCAGTATGCAATAACGAGTGATGTCTTTCGTTACATAATGAACAGGTTTTATTCGATCGACATGTAGTCGTTATCTTATGACCCAAACAATTGTCGCATAAGTTTAATTTTTGAATAAGGGATCGCCGATCAGGTATACTCAATGATAGAAATTTCGAACAAATAAACACTCTGTGTTGTTCCCGACACATAAAGCATTTGTTATCATATTTATTTTTTAACAAAAATGACCGGCTAATTTTAGTGTTTTTGTAATTGGGTTTGTCATTAGTGAAATTGTTGGTCATACCATATACTTGATTTTTTGCCTGTTGTGACTTTTGAAGAAAATGCAGGAGGTCTTGGTATTTGGGAAACTCACCTTGATAAAAATGCTCGAATTTTTCTTGTAACAACGGATCGAGTTTCGAGAATGCCAGTGACGTAATAAGGAAATCATAGGCGTCGGGAATATTCAATTGGGAGAGCGCTTGCACCGCGGTATCGAATTTTTCAAGGAATGAATTTATTTGTCCAGATGAAAAGGTTTTGAATGACAATAGTTGTTTGAAATAATTTGTGGCTAAGTACCGTTTATTTTGGTATTTTTTTATGAGCGCTTCCCAAAGAATTTGATAATTATTTGCGGTCGGTAGTATAGAATGAAATATTTTTAAAACCGGACCCTGTAACGCTCCTTTTAAAAAATGAAATTTTGATACATTATCTAACTCTGTATTTTCATGAATTAGTGAATTAAATGTTTCATAGAATAATGGCCATTGTTGAATATCACCTGAGAATTTAGGTACTTCAATGGACGGTAAATGTTGCTTGGGTACAATGTCTTTAATTGAAGAACTATGCGCATTTTTATTATCTAATAATTTCTCAGCGTGTTTTATTTTGGCATACATCGTTTCAAGGGCCTTTATTGCGGAATATTCCGGAATGAAACTAGGATTATCTAAATATTTTAATTTGTTTATTTCATCACACAATTGAATGAATTGTTCTCGAGCATTTTCAGTAATATATAAATTTTCAAGAAATTGTGTCTTGTTTGAAGGGTCAATTTGTTGCGATAGATCGTACGTTTCTTGCACAATTGAAAAGTACATCTCTCTCTTGGCGGTTAGACGTGCAATTTCTGCACCAATATCGATTTTAGGCGCCATTATATATTTTTGTTTTCTGTATACACCCAATTAATCCTAATAATAATTAGGATCCGGCTCAAAAGGACCAAATGTTGATGTTGGGGGGTTTCTCAACCCCTTTCGAAGTATTTTATACTCCGAGGAATAATAAAAAAAATTAAATGTATTCAGAAAACAAAAATTAATTAGAATACAAATATAAATTAAAAATAAGGTTCTTCTTAATCCGTAATCAATAAAAAACTTAAATATATTCTATATAAATTTTATATAAATGAAAAAACAAAAATGAACACTAATTAATATTGTATGAAAATGTTATCTGTTTGGAAGTCCAAGCCGCGGCAGCTATTTGGTTGGATCTGGAAACATCAGCGTAGTCGGTTGGAAATGTTGAAAGGGAATTCGAACACACTGATAACAAACAAAAACAACTGTTGACTTGACACACAATAGTAACTTAATCCACTGATAATATTGAACTGATAACAAACACTGAAAGGAACTGAATGTACTGATGATTTGAAATGAATGAAAACCACGGAAAGAATGGAATTGAATACTGAAAGAAACTGAAAGTACTTGTCGAAAGTAACTGAATGAAAGAAAGCCACGGAATGAATAGACTCGAACACTGAAAGGAACTGAAAGTACCTGAACGAATGAAAGGCACGGAATGAATAGACTTGAATGGTAAAACTATTGCCTGCATCGGCCTTTTTTATGAGTCAGAATTGCCCGATTGCCTAAATTTGAAACGTGTTGTCCAAGTAGAAAAACAAACCTTTTACAGGTCCGACAACCTACACAGGTGCGGCGCAAACAATTTCATTTTCGATTTTTTTTTGCGATCACTATAACTTACCCTACGCCTACGGGTAGTTTAAACTGGAGAGTAAAAGAAAGGTTATATCTGTACAGACCAATTTTAATTTTTATCAATAAAAAATGCAATACTTAATAGTTCTTTATATTTGTTTTATTATTGAAATAAATTAAATATTTATAATTTATTAAATGTCCTCGATATTAAATATATTAATATTTATGTTTCGTTAGTTATTCATCATATTAAAAACTTGCAAAAAGTGCTTTTTATAGTGATTTTCCTTTAGCACGGTTTTGTCATATAAAAGTGAATTTTTCAAGTTACACTTTTTTTTGGAACGTATCTTCCGTGTAAAACCAATATATTTTATTGACACAAAAGTGTGCTTATTCTTTTGTTAGATCTATGAATCACAAACAGCACAAATTTTATAAACCAAATTCAAAATAATTTAAATCAGATTTGTTTATCGCAAAATTTGAATCTAATCAATCTATTCAATTTCCAATTGTCAGCCAATCTTTTATTCTTCTAGATGAGGTGAAATTCATAAGAAGTCAAAAGCATAATGCCCAACTCGTGTATAACATGTACATTTACAATCGCAAGAAAACGCTCCATAACGGCTGCACGACCTGGCGTTGTTGCGAAAACCTAAAGAAGTACAAATGCAAAGCTGTCTGCATCACTTTGAACGATAAATTCGTGGAAGCTAGTCATCAACACAATCACCCGAACCATTGGGAAAAAATTGCAACCAAGACATTGTACGATAGAAGTGAATTCACTGATGATCTCACTGATGAACTAGAAGCCAATTAGATAATAGATAGATGTATATTATAGTATTGTATGATTTAGTGGTTTATTATTTGTTATTTAGTTCTTAAGAATGTAGATACACAAATGAAAATTGTACATATACTTATTTTGTAATACTGTTACATAGTTAATATTTAATAATTAGATTTTTTTGTTCGATGTTGAGACTATTGTGTTTCATGTTCTATTTGATATGTTTTATTTTTCATTTTTGTGTGTTCAATACTATAGTATTCCTTCCCTCATATTAAGTACAATAGGAATAAACTGTCTTATAATTAGTATTTTAATAAATATAATAAAGTCTATTATTTTATAGTATAAAGAGTTTCAAAAATTTTAAAGAATATTTTAATGAAAATTCACTGAAAAATAATCACTGACTGAAAGCGAGATGAAAAATAAAATACCATTAAAATAGCTATTACAAAATAGGGGTTTTTTGTAAAAGGTTGAAAATTTAGGGCTGTATGTGTTTTATAAACGTATCATAAAAAGTGGACTAGTGGTGCATGGCAACGTGCTTTAAGGAAAAATTCTGGAACTTCTCGTACCATGATTTAAATTTTTTATGAACTCAGAAAAGAAAAATGGAGAATTTTGGATTTATCCAAACGTTTTTAGAAATTTTGAAAAGAATTGGTACGGGAAGTTCCAGCAATTTGCCTTAAGGCACGATGCCATACACCACTAGTTTATACATAAAATCGTATTGTTTATTATTATCACACTTTATTAACTTTCCGTAGAGTAGTTATAGTAATTGTCTAAAAATCGTAAATATTTTTTTTGTGTATGAACAAAATTACAGTATGAAGAAAAGCTCAGTTTTAGGGAAGGCATTTTTTTATTTTTGATTTCAAAGGTTCAAAAAAATATTTTTTGTTTCAAAACTTTAATATTATTTACTGATGTAATTATAAATTTGAAATAAAAATAATAAAAAAAATTAACATGAACGGGATTCGATCCTCCGACGATACGCATACGCATACGCAAAAATGAGAGCTCAGTCACTTTACCACTAGGCTACGAGTGAACTGACAAGAGCGCACGTTGCAAGTTTTGTATAGCGCGCGCTGCTAAAATGCAAACTTTAATTAATTTTTATAATTAAACCGCTTTTCATAGGCCTCTAATATTTTACCACGGTCAGTTTGGGCATCAAATCTACCATTGTGCCAAGTTTCATCATCCGAGACGAGCAACGCGCGGGTTCTCCTTTTAAGACCAAATAAATATATAACGTAAAAATCGAATTTGTAGCAGTATTTTTATTATAAGCTCTATGCATGTAATACATGAAATAAGTCGTTAAAAAAGTACACTTTTATTAACTCTTTTCTTTTATTATAAAAAGTTAACTATATATTCATGTAAGCATATTGATATAACGCATTACATTAAATTTAAATAATTTAAGTTACAACAGTTTTTTTTTAAGTTAATAATTACACGTATGTATCGTGTTTTTATTTTTAAACCTGATCGTTTTATGGGTATGATCAGTTTGGTTCACTGATCAGTCAAATATAATTTCAAGTTTTAGACAAAATTAAAAACAACACATTAAAATAATCAAAATAGTTTTATTTATCCTCTCGTCTAGTCTGCCGAAATAGAGTTTATTAAAGAAAGAAACACGAAAATTATTAGAGTTAGATGTAAAAAACTAACTACCTTCTAAATAAAATACTTTCTCAAAAAATTATATGAAAATTATATATCGTTTTATTTTTCATTTTATTTTGCATCTTTTTTACTTTATTATGTAAGTCTAAACGTTTCTCGTCTAGGATAAGATATAGGTAAATTTTAAAATTTATCATGCAATATACTCACGTTTCGGTCACACGGATCAACCGATTTGAATGGTTCGATTAAACATTCGATTCCTATTGATAGGGAGATGTACTGATTAGTTTTTGGCAAAGGCAGGTTCAGCAGTTACGGAGATAAAGATCAAAGAGTGCAGAAAATAGAAATCGAGTTTTTGAGAGAACGGAGCATCCGATTTGAATGATCTAAGAAACATTGAATTAGTAATAATGATTGGGAGAAGTGGTCATTAGTTTTTGGCAAAGGCAGACCCAACCATTTCGAAGATACTGAGCTAAATGTGTAAAAAATGGCAGTTTTTGAGAGAACTAAGCGTCCGATTTAAATGATTCAAAGAACTTTCTGATTGTCTTAACAAAATAATTGATTTTAGAAAAAAAAATATTGTTTCAACTTTGTTTTTTCATTTTTTTTTTTCAAAAAAAATTTTTTTGTATATCGAAAGTAATTCAGATTTTATTTTTAATTCTGACTATAGTTCTAATATACTTCAAACAAATAATTTCAACTTTGCAATTCAGTTTATATAATTCTTATAAATATTAGACAATGTTACAATATTAATAATAATAATCTATTTGAAAACATTCAGTATATTCCTCGAACATTTCGTTACGGTACGGGAAGTTCCAGCAATTTGCCTTAAGGCACGATGCCATACACCCCACTAGTTCTTCCATATATTGAAAATTCGTGTTCTAACCGTTATGACAATAAGTAAATCTTAGGTAAAATTGGAAAATCTCAAAATAATTATATGGAGACACTTATCAAATTGCATATCGTTGTATTCGTAATTTTATTCTGGATCCGGTGGTCTCCGAACAAAGATTTATGTAATTCTCTTTATGTAATTCGATACAATAGCTTCCTAAAACTTTTAAAAGTAATATCTTTTCATGCAATAAAACAAAACATACCTGCAACAAAACAATTAAATCAAATCAAATTGCAGTGTAGAAATCCTGTAAGTCCTGACATCCTATCAAATACGAGATTCATTCTGCAACAAAGTGCTAATAGAAAGATCTAAACTTTGTTCAGCTGATAACACAACATGCAAATCATAAAATATCTTATGGCCTTGTCTGAAAATTTTATCATACCTTTAAGCAACACATGTTTGTTTTAATATGGTGGTCAATAGCAAATACATTTTAATTATGAGTACATACCTCAATAAATCTATCCAACGAAGCAATTTATTTCTTCTAACGTTAATTATAACAAAATTCACTTTCTTATTCATGCGCTTTCTTCACTTAATATACGCACATGATTGGTGACTCAGATATGCCGCATTATTATTAGAAACTAGCCGGCCCGACAGACTTCGTCCTGTCAAAAAAATTGTAATGTGGCGGTGTTTTTGTGCCTACCTTTTCTCTATTCTTTGCAAAAAATTATCCTGAACAGAACCGTCACCCTGGTAATAATTCGGTGTGAATTAAAAATAATTAAATAAAACACTATAAGCATTTAAAAGTAAGTAATTTTAATAATGTAAATCATATTAAAAAAATCAGTTCAATTTTCATTGTAGGGTTTTTCTAAATTAATACCACAAACAAACATAGGTTATCTAAATTAATACCACAAACTCCTAATGATACCATAAACGCACTGGAAACGCATTGGGATGCATGGTGCGAGAACATCTTCTGCTTTATACTATCCTTTGAATATAGTTGGTCGATATTTCGCAACATTATAATTGCCGATCCAACCTTTAATTGAAGATTGTGAGGTGACAATCCTAGCAAATCCAGCGGAGTTTAAAAACTCCGGTGGATCGTCTTGGTTAGTTGCCGAATCAAATGATTCGCCTGTAATTTGTTCTTGAATTTTGAAATTTAATTAATTTACATCAATGTTTTTGGCTGCCAATATAGCTTGATTAATAGAAAGATATTTCTATGTTTATATAAATATATTCAAAATTAGATTATCAAAAAACTACACAAAATGTCATGACATAGATCATTGTTTTTTTTACAAATTGCGTTGCCTACTCGATTAAAGAACAAAACGGCTGCTTTTAGGGTTTTCCCGGCAACTATTCGTTTTTTTCTCGCCGTAACAACCATCCATGGACTTCAACGAACATTTTAAAAAAAGAATTGGCCAAATTGGTCCAGGCGTTGTTGAGTTATGCGCTTACCAACACATTTTGCGATCCATTTTTATATATTCGCTCCGAGCGTGACTGCAGCGCCCATGCAGCGCCGTAATAAATATGAACTAATTGGGGGTATCAGTGTGTGGTTTTCATGGGTTTTACATGTTTGTTAAAGAAAAAAGATATTAAATAATTGTTATAAATAATAATAAACAAGATACAGTAATAATGTGAACGCTGAATGTTTATTGAAATTATTAAATTTACTTCAACGTACTTAAAACATAGTTAAGCATAATGATTAATTAAATAAAGAAATGCAGTAAATAATTTTAAGGTTAAGTGCCTCAAAGCTTATGTCATAATCTCGGAATAGTTCTTAATAAAAACAATATAATAATGATAAATAGTATTTTATCAATAGAATAAGTAAATGATAAACTAATTTACTCATTTTTTTGGTCAAACTAAAGACTTAGACACTATTATAAAGACATAATTTAGACATTATTATAAAGACAAGACCAAGTTGACAAGTAGGTAGGACTCAATACCTCGACCGATTCATTGCAAATGCGATCATAGGGCTTGGGAACCCACGGTGATCCATCAACACTACAAATATATATTGGCATTATTTCAGCATTGTATTAATTAAACTGTTTGCAAAATAAACATTTTTTTCGCTATGTGATAACTTTTATTTTTCTTTTAATCATAAAATTACAATTATTATATAATAAAATGTAATTAATATATAGATAATAGTTACATAATCAATGTACAATATATAAATATGTATTTTTCATTATTTCAGGCTTGTATTAATTACATTGTTTTACAAAACATTTTTTTAGTAAGCATTAAATTTTGATAATACAACAATTTTTTTGACTTATAATTTTTCTTTTTCTAAACATAACAATTTTACAACTATTCATAATACTCCAAATTGTATTTTTATAACAATAAGGTTATGATACTTACTTTATTCTTCTAACCGCTGCGATCCACTTTTCCCGTTGATTTTCTTTCCACTTAGCTGTAGAAAATGTATAGAATTTGCAGTCACTTTTTCTGCTGGTATTTCTACAACCCACTACACAACAGACATGGTGGTTCATTTTTAATTATCTTATTTAAATTTGAAATAAATAAATATTTTATGTGTTTTTTGTTTAAAATTTTGTTTATAATAGCCCCTTTTAGTGCTCCAAGTTAGCCACTACGAACGCTTCGGTCGATTTGACTTCCCTTCCATGCCTTCGCACATAGCCAATAAGAAGA